GGCAGCCAGGGTCTGAGCTGCTGTGACGGAGTCCACTTCTTTACCGTCTAGTAAAAGATACAAGTTCACTGGAGGGCTCCCTCTTGTTGACCAGCACGTCACATTGCCACGGTAACTGGTTCCCTCTTTATGAACGGAGAAGGAGATCTCTGGCTTTGAAACATAGACTGGTGCAGGAGGAAGGAGGAAGAGTTTTTTTTTAACTTCACTTAAATATAAAAAATATCAATCCCTCAGTGCTAATGAAAACTCATTAAAAATGCCCTCTGGGAACATTACAATAGACCTAATTGCATGCAAATCTATTCAGTAGTTCATGAGATATTTCTGAACTAAATTGGCTGATAGCACTAAGTAGCTAACGTAGTATTTATAAACTTTGTAAATTCTGTTAATATGTACCTTTGATTGTCACCTGGATCTCTGTGCTGCTGGAAATCCTTTTGATCTCATTCACGCTGGACCAAGCACTGCAAGAATAATTTCCAGCATACTCAGGAGTTACCCTCTCCACCAGCAGCTTGTTTTCCACAAAGTGAAAGGGGAGAGAAGTCGAAGATGATATTTCCTTCCTGTTAAAAAACCAGCTGTAGGAAAGGTTGGACCCCATTTCAACGTCACAGCTCAGAGCCATGCGTGACCCCTCGTATGCAACTGGGGGGAAGGGTTCAGAGGTCACTCTGGTATATGATGGTGGAGCTGGAAATCAGGGAATAAAAGACAGTTGGTGAAGAAAAGGGGAAAGTCAGTTGAGTAAGCTGTAATGAACTACCCAGCATCCGATACTCACTGACTACTCTCAGCTTAATGCTGTTGCTGATTTCTCTGGTTCCTCCAGCTGTGGCCCTGCAGTGGTATGACCCTTCTGACGCTGCAGTTACTTTGATAGGGAATGATGCAACTTGGCCACCTTGAAAATCTCTATTGCGGCCAATTCGCCCATGTCCATCCTTTATCAGCTCATAGATGACTGGTGGGGAGACGTTAGGTGCAACACAATGGAAAATCACCTTTGGGCCACTGAAGGCCAGGTCAGGACCCGTCAGCACCGGGCGAAGAGAGCTTGATCCACCTAAAGAAGCAAATGAAACATCTGTGCATGCAAACTTGAAACTATAAAAAGATTTAAAACTATGCTCAATAACACCGGCTAAGTACAGTTCAGTCTATGTTGCTACTCTTACCTGTGACCTTAAGCTGTGTGTAGTGACTGAAGGAAGATTGTGGGTTGAATTGTAGAAATTAGGTTCTTAAAAAGGGTGACTGGGGTCGGCCTCAGAGACAAGGTGATGAACTCTATTATATGTTTGCTCAGCGTAAAGATGCTATTCAGCATCAACATGCAGCAACCTAGGTAAGTAACTTTGAGCATACAATTGTGGTCAGAAGTTTATTTACAACCTGCGTGGGCATGGATTTCATTGTAATATTGGACTTTTAATGATTTATTTGAACTGTTTTTCCCAGGCTGTAATGTTAGTACAACACTGGTACAAAATTATAGATACCTTTGATGTATGGAAAAAACATGTATGTGGAATTTTTTCCCCCTTCCTGATTTCTTAGTTTTGTTTTGTTTTTTTTAATATTCGTCACTCTTTAAAGTTTCAGATAATCAAAAACATTTTTAATGTTGAACTAAGAAGTAAATGCAAAAGCTCTCCAAACCTACCTGGACCTATCTGGAAAGGTAATTTCC